GAGGAGCTACAACCACAGCCACCCCACCCCAGCTCCAGTGAAGGCAGGGGGAGCTGAGGGGGAGGTGACTAACTTTGGGGAAAGCGCTTCCTCAGTGTATACTCGCCACTGTGCGCCAACACAGACATCTGCATGTCCATTCTAGAGACCCGTGTCTATCGATTCAGTCTAGGGTCACTGTCTTACTACAGTAGACACCCATACATCCCTTTGCCAGCTCTGTGCTAACCTCCTATGAAGCCCCTCCAAACCAGCCACGTACTCATCCCAGAGGTAAGGCCCTGTCAAGGGCAAATAAACAGGAAGAAAAAGTTCCACAGAGCTCACCAGAGAAATGCACAGGGAGGTAAGGGACCCAGCCTAACCAAGGACAGGCCAGGGGACCACGGGGTCAGAGCAAGTTCCAGGTAGGGGCAAAGGTCCCTGATATAGGGTCAGACCTGTTGCTGCGGGTAAAAACAGAAAAAGGGCCTTCTTAGGTCTTTGAGCTTGTTGTGAGTTCACAACCACTACAGGAATCGAAGTAGCCAATTAAAATTTGAAGATCTTTTGTTAGCTGAGCTCAGCGACTGTCAGCATAGACCCGTTTCAGAGCCTAAGTAAGCAATGTTGGCCAGAGGACACGAAGTGTATATAAAGGGGGCGGAGAAAGACAAAAATAAAACACAAAATATAGAGACTACGTTATACATCCTGCTTGGCAAACAGTTAGATCAGCAGGCATCCTGCCTGTCAGAATAAAATTTATAGCTTGCTTGTCAAACAGATTTTTCCCACCCCCAGAGTGGACTGAGCTAGCCACACACACACACACACACACAGATGTTTCTCTTGCTGTACATCTGGCTATTTTCTTTCCTGTTATTGTTTCGGGTCAGCGCTTTCTCAGGGTATATTTCCTCCATATGGTTACCTGTTTTACATTTAGGCCTGTTTTTACAACTCTGGGGTCAGCTAAGGTTTATGTGGCAATACTTTTTTTCTTTTAATTTTTCTTACATACCCAATCTCAACTGCCATCTCAGCGCGCCCGGGGGACCACCGGATACGGCGGGCCCGGGGTTGCGCCTGCTTGAGGGCACTTTAATCCGCTCAGCTATTTGGCCGGCCCTAAATCTTTTATTTTCAAAAGATGTATTAATGTAGAGAAACCAAGAAATCATCCAGCATGGCGTTCACTTAACTGTCGCGATCTGTCTCAGGGAGAGCTAAGCATGTTTCTTTCCGTTCAACAGTATTTCGTTCTTTTTTTTTTTAAATGTGTGTGTGTGTGTGTGTGTGTGTGTGTGTGTGTGTGTCCAGCTCAGCCCACCAGGGGGCGGCCCCGGCTGGCATGTGGTGCTGGGGGATTGAACCGCGGTCCCTTTGCTTTGCTGAGTTTGTTCTAAGTAGGTGCTTTAGACCACTGAGCCATCTCACCAGCCCCAGTATTTCGTTCTTATGGTTGTTTTTTAAGACAGCGTTTCGCTGTGCAGTTCAGGCTGGCCTCCAACTCGAGGGATCCCCCTGCCTCCGCCTCTCGAGCGCTGGGATTACAGGCTTGCGCCACCACACCTGGAGAGAAAACATTTTCGTCACACCTGACCTGTCACCAGTTTTCTGGTCACACCGTTACAACGGGCCCCTCCCCATTCCCAGAGTCACCACCGTCTCCATACGTCACACTACACACCAGAGAGTCAGCCAACTTCTCTCCTCCCCACCCGGGGATGCCTCAGGTAACCCATCCACAGCCTACCCACGGCAGACCCATTGCTCTTCCGGCTTTGTCCGGCTGCTAGGCAACCTGCGAAGTCCCACAGATGGCTGCCCGGCCGAACGCCTGAAGGACCCCTAGAGGCCATGCAGGTTGGCCAGCGCAGTGCCTGCGCCCCTCCCCCCCCCCCCCCCCGAGTCGTCATACTGAGAGCGTCGGCCAGAGTCAGCGGGTCCAAGGGCAGGTTGTCGCGTGGCTGGGTCGGGGAGCGAAAGGGCTCGAGTTCGCCTAGCGCGGGGACTCGGGCGGGGACTCGGGAGGCCCCCTGGGGATGAGGTCGGGGATTGAAACAGGGTCTCGTTATGCAGTTCAGGCTGGCCTTGCGCTCACTGTGTAGTCCAGGCTCGTCCCGAACTCACAACGATCTCCTGCCTCAGCCTACCGAGTGCTGGAATTTCATTTGTGCCACCACGGCTAGCCATGAGAGGGGTTCAATTTTTCACATGTAAATAGAGCTTCCTAGTTGGAATTGACCTCAAATTCTTAGTTCAGGAGCCGGGGAGATGGCTCAGTGGAATAAGCACTTCCCTGGCAAGTGCAAGGGCCTGAGTTCAATCCCCGGTTCTGCCAAAAAAAATTCTTAGTTCAGGGGGCCGGTGAGATGGTTCAGTACAATAAGCTCTTCCCTGGCAAGCGCAAGAGTCTGCGTTCAATCCCCGGTTTCGCAAAAAAAATTCTTAGTTCAAATTCTTAGCGATTGCATGGTTGCGCATACCTGTAATCTCAGCAGGCTGGGCAGCTGAGACAGGAGGATTACAAATTTGGTGCACCCTGGGCAATTTAAACAAGTTAGGGAGACACTGTCTTTTTTAATTTTTTAAGGGCAGGGGTTGTAACTTAATGCAAAAACCCTTGGATTTGATCCCCAATTCCATTTTTAAAAAAACCTTAGAGTAGCTTATAGGATACTTTTATGTTTTCTACATTTTTCCACAAGTATTTAATTGAGCTACACACCACGTTGGCTGCCAGGAAGACAGACATAAGATTATGGTGTGTATAAATCCACTGGTCAGTGAAATTGGCTTAACTCCGGGATGTCAGGCACTGTTTCAGCGACACATAGAAAAGGGCCCAACTGGGCCCTGACCAGAAATCTGTGTCTGGCCCCTGAGGACAGCTGAGTATATTGTCAGCTTCAATTTGGGCAAGGGAGATCCTGCCCCATCCAAAATATTAGCTCAGAGATGGTGTGTGCCTGCAGATGTACTGGTAGCCTACTTGTTTTTCAGGTTTTGTTGTTTGGTTTGGTTTGGCTTGGGTTTTGTGTTTTTGGTTTTGGTTTTGGTTTTGGTTTTTTTCAGAACCAGAGATTGAACTTAGGCCCTTACACTTGCCAGGCAAGTACTTATTCTATTGAGCCATCTCCCCGGCCCCAAATTTCTCTTGAGTGGGCAACGCTTGTGGCCTTGCAGTGGCACCAGCTGGACCCTACCCCTCCCGCAATCCCAGGAAACATGCGCATGTCACCCTTGGCTGTAGCTGTGGGGGAGTCTTGTGCTGTATGTGGCCTTGAGGGTCCCTAACCCCACTCTTCTCTGGTGGCAGAGGTGACATGACCTCTGCACTGCGGAGCCCGCGGGTGCTCCAGCTTACCCTGGCCCTGATCAAGCCGGATGCAGTCGCCCACCCACTGATCCTGGAGGTAAGGACAAGGCCCAGCCTCAGAGGTCGGCCCTAGGTGTGGCTGTGGGCGCAGAGCCTCTGGCGACCAGCAGCACTTCCAGGCTGTGCTCTGCGGCCATGAGGGTGTGGATGCTGACCCTGGGAGACTGGAAGTCCCAGAAGTCCCTTGGAGACCTGAGCAGATCTGAAATCTAAGAAAGGTCCACGTAGAGCGTGTGACACCTTGTTTCTGTTCACCTCCCGGGCCTGCGCAGCACGGCCGCAAGTGTCCCCGCCACTCCTCAGGCTCGTGTCTGTGGTGTCCGGGGAAGAATCCGCCCCTAGCTTGGACGCCCGTGGGCTGAGGCTCGGGCCACTTCCTGTAGTGACGGGGCCCAGTCGCTGCTCTCTCGCTGGCCTTGGGTAGGCCTCGCACACAGTTCCTGAAGGCCTCAAATCTTCCATGCTCCTCATGTGGCTGTGGCCCTCCTTAAGAGGATGACAGCACGGGGAGCCCCGGAGAGGTGTGCAGAGGGCCAGATTCCTAAGCCTCACCTGACTAAGCCCCCTTTCGGTCACAGTCAACTGATGAAGAGCCTCACTTACATCTGCAGAGTTCCTTTTGTTACGTATGCACTGTCACATAATGGTACATCAGCGTGTTTGCAGCCCGGGTCCTCCATGATGGCGGGTGATGAGTGCTTGTAAATCCTCTGTGACGTATGGAATGATAACAAGGGACACAGAGGTGGACTAGATGTTACCAATGAGTTAGACAGGAGGAGGGCAGAATGCCAGAACCTCAGTGAGCTCTGGTATTTAGGAAATGAAGCCACGCATGGTGGCACTCAGCAGCCTGGGCTGCACGGTGAGTTCAAGACCAGCCTGCACTATATAGGGAGACCCTGTCTCAAAATAGAAAAAAGGAAAGAAATGGTTCTAACAGAAGGAGAGACAGGGGGGCTGGTGAGATGGCTCAGTGGTCTAAAGCACCTACTTAGAACAAGCTTAGCAAAAACAAAGGGGGGGG